GGGCCTAGACCCTTCTTCAGAAGGGTCATTTTCTGAAGAAGGGTCTAGGCCCGAAACGTCAGCCTTCCTGCTCCTCTGATGCTGCTTGGCCTGCTGTGTTCATCCAGCTGTACACCTTGTTATCTCAGATTCTCCAGCATCTAGAGTTCATACTATCTCTGAAGCCTTTTTAACCATCCTGTCGACATGTGATGCAAACTTTATAGAATAATGTACCACAACCCTTGGTCCCTCTGTTCCAGAACAACTACCCAAGGCCCTATCATTAATTGTTTCAGTCCCACCCTTGTTTGTTCTACCAAAATGCAATACCTTGCATTTATCCAGGTTGAATTCCATCTGCCATTTTCAGCCCATTGGCCCATTTGATCAAGATCCCTTTGTAATCTTAAAAAACTGTCTTTACTGTCTACTATGCCACCAATTTTGGTGTCATCTGCAAACTTACTAACCATACTTTCTATATTCTCATCCAAATCATTTATATAAATGACAAACAAAAGAGGACCCAGAACCCATCCCTGTGGAACACCGCTGGTCACAGGCCTCCAGTCCAAAAAGCAACCCTCCACCATTAGTCTCTATCTCCTGCCATTAAGCCAATTATGTATCCTATCATAATGACTGTCACCAGCCAGGCATGATGGAATTGGCTCCACCGGGACTCTGTGTTCAATTGCTCCTCCTCCCCACAAATATCTTGAGACATTATCAGATTGTTGAGGTTTGATGCAGCTTCACCATTAACTTCTTTCAGAACAATTACCTCATGCAAATGGAACAATACTCAGTTGAATGCTGTCATAATGTTGAAAGCACCCATTCTTCTTTGTCACATTCTTTGTATTGACATTAAGGCTATGCTGAAGTCTAGAGCTGAATTGTTCTGACATTCTTTATTTCTGTTTTATCCCTTGCGCATTAAGCATATTTTTCTCATTTCTGTCGATGCATTTTCTCTGCCTCACTGCACGTTTTCTCTCTGTCAGTACAACTGTCAGCCTCACATACCATCCCTCCCCTACCCCACTGCCACCATTGGACCCAATCATTGCTTGTTGGCAGTGTCTGAATTCTTTTGCAATCTGAAACCTAAACCGATTTCATTATTGAATAAATCCAAGAAAAGTTGCTGACACTTATTGTTTTCCACTGCAAGAATTATCCCTATTCAGACGTGTTTATTTTCAAAATCATTGTGGTAGAATTCTTTATCCCTCCAATGAAAAAGAGGACATAATTATAGATTTGCATTAACCCAATAAAGGGACATTGGGTGTGCTGTTTCTGTAGGCAATTAAATTTTTACCTGTCAATTTTTCTCATTAAAAGTGTAACCAAGGAGGTTAGTGATAATTCTCACTGTTATGTAGGATGACTGTTGTTATTAATTTGTCTTTGATTCCTGGGGTTTGCATGGGCTAATCCTAGGACGAAGACTTTTTTTAAAAAGGGGTCCTTCACAGTTATACTCTGTAAATTGTGTCCCAGAATTTCTCTCCCTGACTGACACTAATGAGTCCAATTGTTTTCTTGACAGATGGCAAATATTGTTGCTTCTGCCTACTGTGTGGTGCTGGCTGTTCTGGTGATGTGTGCTCAAGGCCATGGTGGACAGGGTAAGTTGTAAACAAAGTTTCCTTTAACTTCTCATTCCCACATTTTTTGATAATCAATCCTATTCCAAGGAGGAAAGAAATGTAATCCAAAATTACAGAGATTGCAAAAAGATAGCAACTGCGTTTCCGTGCCCAAGTGGCTACTCTTTGAACTTGAGCCTAAATTGGTTAGCTAGGGTATGCACTGCTGTTGTATCCAAACCTGTCCTCACTGTTGTATTGCATTAATTAAAAATTAATATTATGTTTAATATTTTTATTATTAATATGTTTTAAAATTAAACTTGTCAATGGATTAGTAAATAGCTGTTTCCATCAATCATCAATAAATTACCCTGGTGTTTGTACCTGAATAAAAGGACTACCTTTGGGGAAACACATCATTCCTTAGACATGTCAAGGTGCTATTTTATTCTCCTTTTGATCATATTTCTCTAGTAAAAGCAAGTTAATCATCTTGTCTATTTTAAATTCTCGAACTGGGTAAGTTGTGAAATAATTTTGTATCTGTATCTAAAACAGAAACGTCTTGACATTGTAATTATTTTTGATTTTTACGAAAGGCTTTGACTCTTACTAGTTGCTGGAGGAATCTGAATTTAGATTTTATTCTGAGAACTTGAAATATTGTTTGTTTATTCAGCTCTAAACAATAGCACCTCAAGTCCTGGTATTCAATTTGTGAGCTTTCCAATAAAACTGTTGACACAGATTTAGTATGTTGCAGTATTATGAAAATACAATTCCACAGTCTTATCCATGCACAATTGTGTACATTACAATATCAAAACAAAGTTAAAGCATTCCATGCCAACTCTCTGTCATTACAGAACATGCTATTAATCATTTCAAGTTCACCTTTAATATATATAGGAACGTGGAGATAGATGATTTGAATCCATGGAGCCAATATCTCAACTCACAATAAATATCATCCTCCTTTATTTTACAAACAATTTATCCAATTCTCTCTTGAATTTGCTCTGCCTTTTTTGATCACTTCAAACTTTGCGGATATGCTTCTTGTGGAATCTTTTAAAAATATTGGCCTATAACTGTTTGACACATTTTTAAGATCTTAGATACTTCAATTGGCAAATATAAGTTTTCTTTCCACCAGAGTATTCATCCTCCAATTCGGGAGCCTCCAGTCGTAACTGTCATCAAATCTCAGCTATCAGCGCATTTGCTTTTCAGAGAATCGCCTTCGATAACAAAATATGATGTACGTAATTCTACACATGAAGTTAGTCAGGCTTCACGTGGAAACTTGGTCCATAAAATTTGGAAGCGGAAGTAGTCCATTCAACCCACTGAGTCTGTTTCACCATTCAGTGAAATTGTGGCTATGAATAATCCCTGAAATCACTTTCGTGCCATTTCCCCATAATACTTTATTGCCTTGCTGATTAATGTCTCTACACCCGTCTGTGGTAAAGAATTCCATAGATTTACCACCCTCAGTGAGAAGAAATTCCTGTCTTAATTCTCTGTTTTAAATGAGTGACCCCTCATTCTGATATTACGCACTCTGGTCCTAAACTTTCCCATAAGGGAAAACAATCTTTCTGCATTTACCCTGTTAAGGTACTTTTTATGTTTTATATGTTTCAGTAAGGTCACTGTCATTCTTCTAAATTTCAATGAGTTCAGGCCCGGTTTATTCAATTTGTACTCACAAGACAGCCCCTCCATACCCAGGATCAACGGAGCAAACCTTCTCTGGATTGCTTCAAGTGCCAGTATATCTTTCCTTAGAAAAAGAGCCTAAACTGTTCACAGTATTTCCAGTGTGGTCTAACTAGGGACTTGGATAGTTCTCGTAGGCCCTCCCTACATATGTACTCCATTTCCTTCAAAATAAAGGCCAACATTTAATTCACCTTCCAGATTAGCCACTGAACTTCACTGCTAATTTTTTGTCATTTATGCACAAGAACCCCAAATCCTTCTGTGTTGTACCTTTCTGCTGTCTTTCTCCACTTCAATAATATTCAACTTCTGTATTATTCATGCCGAAAACCTCACAGTTTCCCCATTATAATCCATCTGCCAAATGCTTTTCCCCATACACTTAACCTATCTTTGTAACCCTCTGCAGACTCTTTATGCCTTCCCACCTATTTTTATATCATTTTCAAACCTGGCTATAATATATTCACATTGTTCATCCAAGTCAATAACATATATTGTAAATATTTTTGGATCTAGCGCTGTGGCAGTCTACTAGTCATACTTCGCCAAACTGAAAATGCTCCCCTTATCTAAATTCTGTCTTGTATTAAATAGGCGATCGTCTGACTTCCAATATCTTGTTAGCCTAATGTGCATTACCTTCTCAAAGGCTGGAATTGAACCTGGGTCCCTGCTGCTGTGAGGCAGCAGTGCTAACCACTGAGCAACAGTGCCACCCCAAGATATCTTGAAACAAAATTAGGATTAAGTCAAAATTAAAACTGAAATAATGCAGTTGTTGTCTGAATGGCAATAACTGAAGATTTAGTTCCTGAAGCAAACTGTTATCTTATCAGAAAGTAAAAATCCTAGTTTCCCTGAAGGGTTAGATGATGAAAGGAAACAATGCTTTATGTGAAACTGACCCCCAGAGGATTATGAAGGTCCCAGCTTGATTTTCTATATCATGATGATCTTAGATGTGAACCTTTGCCTCTTATCTTGTATGAGAGAAGGGGAAAGTTAATCAGGATATACATTGTCAATTGCATTCTGTTGATTCTTGCATATGTGGACTTCACATAAGGATAGAATAAGGATTGATACTGCTCACCTGTAAGAGAATAGTTTATCTACAGTCCCCACCTTGGATATGAAGCATAATGTAAACTGATTCAACTGATCTAACATAATTGATTCCTCCTTCTTGAGATGGCAGGACTGAAGTATGAAGACAGTTTAGATTGGTTAGAACTACATTCACTGGAGTTTAGGAGAATGAGGGGAGATCTCACAGGAAATTGTAACATGTTGGAGAATGACCTGTGTCTGTGGCCTCTTCCAACAACAATCAGTACTTTTACAGCAATATGTTAATTGAAAAGGTACTGAAGCTGAAAACACAAGAGAATAGTCTGCATTTTTGTAGGTAAACAATTAGTTACCACTATGCTGCAGTTGTTTGACGTCACTGGAATAGTAACCCAAGCTACTGCACTGGAGACATGAGTCCAAATCCCGCCATGACAGCATGCGAAATTTAAATTCTGTAAAGCGATTAAATAAGTGTGAAATAACAACCTAGTTTCACTAATGGGTTTTGACGACAATCTAGTGATTACTAATGTTCATTAATGTGCTTCTCTCACCAAGAGTGCACCCTGTGTCCTTGTTACCCTCAGTGCCCCTTCCAAGTGGTGTTCAACATGAGGTACTGAGGGAGGGAGTGGATGGGAATAGCAGGATTTTTTCTTATTTCAATATTTTATTTATTATCACGTGAGATGTGTGCATGGCTGGCTAGGTGAACATTTATTGCCCATTCTTAATTGTCCTTTCGAAGGTGGTGGTGATTGTGAGTTGCCTTCTTGAACCATTGATCCTAGAATACTGAGCAATTTTACCACTTGAGAGCCATACTTAATGATATTTTGTGTAGTCCAGACACATCAGACGATGGCTAAACTAGTTGTCCACCATTTTCTTTCAATTCTGTGTCTTTCAGACTTACTGGAGCAGAAGTGAAACAATACCAGCCATACGTCAAAGAGTAATGATTTTACTGGGGACTTGGAAATTAGAAATGATGTGAGAGTGACTCAGATGCAACCACTAGCTTCCAAAATGATGTGGAAAATGAGGGCCAAGGGCTAGACAATTGGGATTTTGTGAGCGTAGTTATAAGAGGAAAAATAGAAGGAAGTAGGGTTAAGGTGTTGGAAGAGAGGTGGGTAATGAATAATAGAAGGAGATGATCTCTAACTGATGCAGTGTGACAACATAGACCACATGAGATGGCAAAGTCAAAGGGATTGCTGTGAATACAGGTTGAGGTCCAGTGATGTTTTACATTTTAGGAAAACAGGAGAATGGTGGAATACTCTGCACTTGCCCAGGCGAGTGCATCTCTGAACACATCCTACACCACTAACACACACTGGGACTGTGCACCATTTGAAAAAGGCACTGTAATAACTCACTAAGACTCACGCCATAGAGTCTCCGAATGTGTGACCTCCACTGCTGAGAAGAACAAGGACAGCAGACCCATGGGAACAACATTGGCTATAAGTTCACATTCAAGATTTTCACTATCCTGACTTAGAACTGAATCACTGTCCTTTCACTGTCACTGTTTTAAATTCTTGGAACTGCCTACCTAACCATACGTACACCAGTTGGATTGCAGCACTTTAAGAAAGCGGCTCTCCACCCTTCCGCAGGGCAATTAAGAATGGGCAATAAATGTTAGTCCCTCATTTCAAGCAAATAAAGTAAAGGCATGAAATAAGAACATCAATCTGTTTCCATAACAACTGTTGCTTCACCTACTTTTCCTCTCAAGTCTTTGCTATTTTTGTTTCAAGTTTCCAGCATCAGTTTTTGACTAGATTTCACTTCCGATATATTACGCAAGTCAGGTGAGGCTGGATTTCCACTCCTCTTCAGTTTAGAGTTAAATATTCCAAAGCTGTCAACAACAGTTTGGATTTGCCTCTTGGCAATGAAAATGGACTGATGAAATCTGATTCTGGGATGTCTTGAGAAAGGTTAAGTGATTCACAGGAGAAAGTGTGTGTGAAGTGGATTTAAAAGTTAAGGAGCTGCCAATCTTGACTGATGAGCTGCCTAAAGGGAATTTGAACCATATGTCTTTCTGTGTACTCTTGGGACTTTGCCCCTTAAAACCAATTGCAAAGAGATTTTTTTTTGAATTAGTAATTAATAAATCGTAGATCTTTGCACCTTGAGGTTGCCCTTTTATAACGCTTCGTGAAACATTTGCAGTTATAGAGTCATAGTCATAGAAATATACAGACAGACAC